ATCAGACAAATTAAGCTCTATGTCTAATGCCATACAAAGCTCACTGGCTAATACTATACAGCAAAGCTCTCACTATCACTCTGCATCATACTATATGGTCCACATGCACAATGGAATACATTCAGGGGTGAATAAAGCCTTGACACCCTGCTGGGCTTATCTGCTGCATAAGGCAAGTGCAAGTGCCTCTCAGTGCAAGACCTGGTTTCAAGGGATGGATCTGAGGCTGTTTTGGCCTCCAACACACACATCTATGCCTGGAGATGCCAGTGATGCCTCAGCAATGTACCAAGATTAGCGACAGTGGCAAACGTCAACATCCAAAATTGCTTACACTGTAGTTTGTAACCAAGGCAATAATATTAATGTGGAACTTACTAACACTGCATATTTTCTGCTCATTCTGAAGTTTAGACTTTCCAGAAGTCAGTGACGTTCTCTTGAATAATCCTAATCAAATTTTGCAAGCTATCAAGATATAGCCATCTTCAAATAGTCTCAAACGCTAAGTTGTCAACAAGCCGAACACAGTAATGCTTCCTGGATGTACAAATTCATGACCAATGTAAGAAAGTTACAAACACTGCCATGAATTTTCCCCAATCCTTTTGCACAACAGTCAAACGTACAATGCCTTTTATAATAAACACATACTGTAAAATATGTCATCTTTCCAAATGAATTCTGAGGTCTTTTTAAGAATCTCAGACAGCTAATATGTGGGAGAAAGGGACAATATTAGATTTTATTGCACTAAGGGAAAAAAGAGACTAAAAAAAATGTTTTAAAAAAATTACTTGATTTTTCTTGCTCTTTTGAAATATGAAGAACAAGTTGGATATGAAGAGTTGTAAATTACAGTGAAATAGGATCATGTTGCACTTTGCCTTTCTCATGGATAAGAACAAGGCACATGGACCTCAAGACTCTTCTGCTAAACACATTATACACAATAATTTAAAGAGAAGCTCTATGATTAAGACTTTGAATTTAATCTGTCAAATGACTGACAAAAGATTTCAGAACTGCAATAGCAATCACAATTAGAACATCACTGCAGCAAAAGTCAGAAGAGAACTAAGGAGATGAAAATATTCACTCCAATGCCAGACTCAAGAGGATGTAAACTTACTCAGAACAAAAAATCTAGGAGCTACCTTCAGTCCTGCTCCTTTTGTGAAGGGCCAATTTGAAAACTTGCATGAAAAAAATAATATACATATTGTTACTAGAGAAAATTAGTGTTTTAAAAAGATGCTACTTGTCAAAGTGATGTGTGTGAGTTCATTATATGGAGTTTGAAAACCAAAGCAATTCCTTAGAAATGAATGTTAACAATTGCGAGTTATTTGGGGTGAAGTCTGGGGTGGAGAGGAGCAAACTAAGATTATGACTGCAATAAAGAACTTGCATGGACTTATACTTTGTTCTGACACAGAACTATACAGAACTGACAAGGCTATGCTTTGAACTATTGTGTAGGGTGAGATCAAGGTCAACTCTCCACGGTTTCCTGTTTGGCTGGCTCTATCTACCCCAATGAGTTCTTTCAGCACAGTGACGATAGTCAGAGATTATTTTTTTCCTTTGTCTTTTGCTATAGTGATACCGGCAGATGTTTGCTGTAAACAGAGCTTGTATTTACAACACAAACTTTTCATGGGAAGTCTGCAATATAAACTTCAACACTGTGTAGATATGGAAGATGCATCTTATTTTTCTGTAGCCCAGGTATCAGCATTGGTTACAAGTGTTTGCACTGGAAAATGAAATTTTATTTTTCTTCTATTTGTCCATGAAAGTGCAGCAGTATTGGACAGTGATGCACAGCTTGGTGGAACATACCATGGGACACCTAAGAAGAGCTCCTAAAATTACCAGTGTACAGATGCGATTTGAAAGAGAAACATTGAATGCTTTTGCAATGTGCGTAAGCATCTCCAATCAATTTGCAAGGCAATTAGTGTCCCTTTATGGCAAACCATGAAAGGAGCGGAGCTGGTAAAATAAGCAAAGAGGAATAAAGATTCCTTTGTGGCTTCTGATTAGTAAAAATGAGTGAACTACTTGATCCAGATTCTGTGCTATGAAGTGTTTGCCTTGGCCTAGCAAATTGTCCTTGAAATGAACTTTGTTAGCCAAGAGCTTGCACTACAGCAATGTTTCTCTGCAATTAGGGTTCTCAGTTAGGACAAATGCAATTAGAAAAGAGGATTAAAATTCTGTTGAAGATCTACTTTTGAGAAAGCTTAGGTTAGCATTTTTTGCTGTATACAGTACATATTCCAGAGCAATTTTGGAAACAGTATCTTTTAGAAGTTCACATTTGCTGAGCTGGTAGCACTGGATAAGAGCTCACGTTTGTAATGAACAGACAAATTCATTATTGCCCCAGTCAATAGCTATTGATTTGGTAGAGCATTTCTGTTTATCACAATCAAATCCTTTTCTTTTTTGTTCAATAGTCAATGACACTGTAATGGAAGGTACTGCTTACAAACTGATGCAATGTACATTAGCAGCAGCTAGAAGTTAATGACTAACAGTTATAAAGAGGAAAGCGTGTGCTAAGAACAGCATTACACTTCTATTAATCAAAGTTACTGTATCCAATATGCCTTTATAGGTTAGTGGAACTGTAATGCACATCACTTAAAGAGTTTTTGCTATTATTAATCTAAGTTTTAACACAAAACAACTTTTAATCATGCTGTCATTGCATAAATAATTTGGCTAGGACAAGGTTCTGTCTGACTTTTATAGCACCCCTTTTAGTCATTGGAAACTTCTGTCCCTACTTTGCTTTTACAGTCTTAGAATCAGCATTTAGAGAGATATTGCTTTGTTCCCAGATAAGGACATGTCATTCTCTAACTACCACAAGTAGAGCAGTATTAAAGCAAAAGAGAAGCATACTAGAGTGCATGTGCCCATTGCTCAGCTTGCCTCCTAACTTGTTCTCTGCAGCAAAGCAGTACTGCACAACTTAGTACTTCACATTTTATATAATTTGCACTTTCCAGCTCTTAGGTTGAAATCTGATACCTTGTGTATTTTTTTCACTCTATAATTATTGTTGTATAATTGTTGTTTTAAACCTGCCCTACCTAAACCACATTTGCTTTCAAAGTTTTTCTTTTACATCTGAGAGTTCAATATAACTACAACAGTTACATCTATATTGTTATGTTACGTCTAAGCAAACGTTCCCAAAAAAATAATAGTGTGTTGAACCCAGAGAGAAAAGCACAACTACTAATGATGACTTCTTGACTTAAGGTTGTCTATAACCATTTTTCCTGTAGAACAGGAACAAACAGGCCAACACTGTAGCATTGATTTATCTGTTTGTTTCTGTTTTCTTAATGCAATTTGCATTTCTCTCTGGACTGATGATGAGGCATTACAGAAAGAAAATTTATAAATGTGGCAGAGATTAAACAACCATGCCATTGCCAAGTACATTATTCTGGAGGCTGTGTGCACCGACTAATTGGATTTAAACAGTGTTCATAAATTAAGGCCTTTAGAATTTTTCGGAGATGAGACACATTGCTACATTTACCATACGGATTTTGGTCACATGTGTGAAACTAGTGATGGCTGGTGAAATTCTAATTGATGTTATATTTCTCATTATGAATCAAGGAGCTAAGTTCAGTTTGGCTTCTATGTATTTACGCATCCCAACAAAGACATCCAATGCTTCTCCGTCAGCATTAACTTGTGCTCTTGTCTGCTGTCAGCAGAACAGCTACTGACAGGAGAGCAATGGAGACTAAGCCATATCTTTCCAGAAGCAAGCAACATAATGGATTTTGTTAGTCTAATAACCATGCATTCCTAAACAATAATGAATTTATTCTTGCAATACTGCGTGAAGAAGAACAAATTGATCTTCTTCATCTTAATTTAGAACCAGAGAGACAGATTTTCACAAGGTCATCCCTTAACTCTACTGAATTTCCATTCCAGGGACATGAGTTCAGGAGATGCAATCTCCTTTGTGCTCTGGTATGCTGTGTTTTTCAAACATAATTTAGATACTGTAACAAGGTGAAAATAAGAAATATTTGTATTCTTTGTATCTACTGTGAAGGTAAGAGGGCATCATTGTCTTACACACACAAAAACTTCCTCTTGATACATTCTGCAACGTTTTAAAAGAGAAATACAAGCAAGCATTCCAAATCGGCAAACAACATAGCTGGGTTGAGGCAATGATTAATTACAAGAAGAAAATGCCTTCTGAGCTTTAGCATAAAATACAGCAAAAAGTCAGCATTAAAGAAATTACTTGCACGTTAATAAGACCTTCATATAATACTTACGTTTTTCAGTATTTCATAAAAAAGTTAAATCTCAGATAAAAAATGCTAGACGTCAAAGAGATTGTTAGCCTCTTGGCAATTGCAATGTAAGACATTTTCATAGATTATTCTGGAATTTTAGTAAATCATTTGAAAGCGTGCAGTAAGTTTAAAATTGTTTGTATTTTTATTTCTTCAAAATAGCAATTTGATCTCTTCTGGTACCAAAATGAGCAAAATTCAACTGAAGAATCAGTGAGTGTTTGTGGGAGAGGAACAATATGGCTGCTAGCTATCTTAGAAACACTACAGGCTGAACTGACCTCACTGTTAACTCAGTTACATTGGTGGTTCTCTCTACTGAATTCCATTTGCCCATAGGCAAACTCTGCAATGCTGTTTCATATAAAACTGTAACAATTTTATTTGAATGAGGAGGATTTTTAGTTAAAAAAATCAAACCAAGCCAGAACAAATAACCAACACATTTCTAATTGAAAACAGGCTGTGTATTTCTCACTGTGCTCTCAAACTATGCAGTACCTGATGTCCCTAGATTTTACGTATTTTCTGAATACTGCAACCTGTATCAACTGTAGAATTCTTAATATTGATACTAGAAGACACAGAATGGGAAAACCAAGGAAAAGCTATTTATAGTATATTATATAGTATATTATAGTAACTTACTTTTTGTAACAACTCCTTCAAGACGAATTATATTTGGGTGATCAAACTGACCCATTATACTAGCTTCTCTCAGGAAATCTCTTCTTTGCCTGTCCATATAACCACCTTTCAGAGTTTTAATTGCAACAGGTATCTCTCTTTTTCCTGGTGTCTTCAGACGTCCACTGCATACTTCCCCAAATTCACCTTAAGTAGAAAAAATGTTAGATCATTCACAATGCCTAAGGAACCATTTGCACTAGTGAGCAGAAACAACTTTTTTTTTTTTTTAAATTAACCTTCAATAGTTGTCTTATAAATTGTCCTTTTTAATAACTCTATGTTATTTGTAGCCATTAAGAAAACTAGAACACAAAAATACCCAAGACTTGCACAGCCCATAGAACTAGATACTTTTCTTCTCAATAAAAATAGAGGATTGGATATTCAAGTTCATGAGTGACAACATTCATTGGTGCCACTACCCCGAGATCATGGGGACTGCAGCAGTCTAATCATCTGCTCTACATCGCATAGTTTATCCTCCTTAACTGAGACTTTGAAACTAAACTTTGGTATCAAAGTCTTTGTGATCTAAATGAGCATGCTATGAGGAAATAATGTAATGATGGTTAGATTTTAATTGTAATGATGACGAAATACCTTTCTGCAGATATTTGAGACAGACGTGGTATTAACACATATATGAATACAAATGCCACAACATCAGAATATCTGGCTTTCAGTTGTAGAAAGCACTTAAAAATGGACTTCTATTTTGCCCAGAAGAGCACTTCCATATGATTTATTTAAATGGCTTTATTGCTTACATGAAACTAATCGCCTATGTCACTTTTTGGACAGTCAAAGGACAACAGTTTCAGCAAATCAGGATTCTTGTGTAGTGAGAGGAATCCCAAAGCTTGCTTCAACTGATGTTCTGTGTAAGAAAGGGCCATTGAAGAAAGCACATCTTCTTGTATTCCCTTTACACATTTACTAGTTAAGTTTGTACGGAAGTCAGAACTTTTCTTTGATCTTGGAGCAACTCAGAAGTTATTTAAATCCCATACCAAATATTCTCTGGATGTCTGCAGGTCAGGTTTCAATGGGTCATAATTCAATAAATCAAAAACAGTGTTTATAAGAATGTGTCAAAGCACTTATCAGTTGCAGGGTATTTCCATAGCAAAATCAAATTTGATACCCCAGCTATTTTGGAATCAAAATTGCTGAAAAACAAAAAGAGTCATAAGAAGACCTACATTTATCTGGAGGATATAATTTGTTATAAACTGCAGTAAGTGATGTGGGAACTAGTTTTCCTTAAAGGTTAGCTACAGAATGAAGGAATATAAGAGAGCTCTATCCTATAAGAGTGTGATTAGATATAAACCAAATACAGAAGAGAAAGGATTGATTAGAAGTCCCACTTCAGAAAATTGTAACTGCCTGATATTATAAGATGAGAATGAATATTGTCACAAAGTCTTTATTTTATTAGGCTCTGTCACTTCCATTACAAAATAAAACAGGTTTTACGACCTAGTAAGATTCAGGAACAGTGGAGGGATTTAAAAAAAACCACCCACTTCATAGCTTGTCATTTGCTTCAAAACAGAGATATCACAGAAGTGCATGAGTGTAATTAACAGATGCTGAACATAACCTTTGAATAAATTAGCATATTCTAACAAAAGCCAAGTTTCCTAGGTCTCCTTCCTACCTATTTCTTTTGTGTTTATCTAATTTTTGAAAATAAATAAAAGTTTGTTTCCTAAAGATATGTTATGTGTATGAAAATAATGTCACAAGACTTATGCTCTGAGAATCTTGACAAAAGGGGAAGCTGTGCAGGGAATTTTATATGTATTTATCCCCTTTGTCAGTCTGCCTGCATGTGACACTTGAGAAAACAGTAGATGACCTGAACTTCCAGAATCCTACTACAAAACAAAATCACGAATCCTGAATGTTTTGAATGAGACAGAATCATAGAATCACAGCAAAAGAAGAAGCAATGAGCAGAAATGGAAATAGGAATTTCCTTCTGAGCGTGAGGAAAACTGCTTTACATGTGAGAATGACATAGCGCTGTCACAAGAAAGGTGGTGAAGTCTCCTTCTCTGGAGATGTTCAAGAGCATCCTGGGTGCTGTCCTGGGCACCCTGCTGTCGAGAACTGTTTCAGCAGTAATCCCCAGAGGTCCCTTTCACCCCAATGATTCTGTGATTTTGAGGAGATAATCAAGACAAATTCTACCTTTGCAACAGTAAAGGTATTTGTATATAGTATAAGTAGAAGCTAAGAGCCAGGTGTCAATGAAGTGACTGTTATTTCCTGCTCCACAGAAAAAGCTGTCAGTATCTAGAGAAAACAACAGAGTTCATTGTGTGCTCAGTTTTAATAGCATGTGTTTTAATGGTATAAAACTGATATGTCTTACTGTAAGTCATGCAAAAAGAAGCTAATTGAGCACTCCAGAGACTTGCCTTATGGAAGCCACACATTCCTTTTCTCACCTCGTCACAAAATACATGTTATTTAAAGTAAAACAGGAGTAGTCAGTCTACTTCAAAGCCCTATATGCATTCTTGTATTACTGCATGAGATCAAAACAAATATCTTACAATACATAATCGCTGTTGATAGAACTGAAAGGTTATAGCACCAAATACAGCTCAAGTCATTTCCCACACTTTCAGTCATTAGACCTTTGGGAAAATTGACAGAATAAAGAAAATACAAGGATAAGTGTCACTTTTAATAGAGACTTGACAAAGAATGTCTGGGAATTCCTTTTAAGAAGAGTGGCTGAAGATTTAAACTTAAGAGCAAGATATCTGGGGTAAAAAAAGCGTCACATATAGGACAAAACCAAAGGATGTCATTGCATGTCAGTAGGTGCAATGAGCTCAATACAAAATGAGGCTGAATGGGATAATCTGAAGAAAAATCTACAGCAAAGAAGGGCAAACTGTGGGAACTGTGGGAATTGGGAGTATAATGGAATATTTAATACTAAGGATAAAAAAAACCTTACCAAGTGTTTTGAAACCAAGAATATGCATTATGAAACTAAACAACAGTAAAATTTTGCTGTAAGTAGAGGATGCAATAAAAGGAAATTGACTAATCAACTTCACATTTTAAACAGCAACTATTGCTAGATTGTGGACTTCATTAGCACTTGTTTATTTGGTTGATATCACCATGGGAAATGAAAGCTAAGCACATTTATAGGTGTTCACTAAGTGTTTACAAAGTACTTAGCTTAGCTAACACTAAATTTACCTCCACTTAGTTAAGTGGAGGGATTTGATTTTAACTTTTTACAATTCCATAATCAGAAACACTGCTTGTGTTTTAATAGTATTATCCCCACACAGTTGCAATAGACTACTCAGTAGCAAATAACTTCTGTTTTGCTTTTGGTATTCTCATCTGCTTACTATTATAAATATTTGATCAAACTGCGAATGCCACTGCTGCTTTTACCCTCCTGTTTGAACCAGGGTATCAGCATAAGTTCTTCAAGGACAAACAAAAAAGATCATTAACAACTATTAACTTAGGTGCACGTTCATTCAATCAGAAGGTCTACAAAATAGCATCTTTGCTTTTCAGAGAATCCAGATGTAAGGTAGTAGTGAATGGGATAATGGGGAGCCTGACTAGGTGGCCAGCTTGAGTATGCATTGAGGTACAGTTTTGTTACTTTAATGCAGATCTTCATACTCTCCTGTGACAAACGGTGAACAATTTAGAAAGGATTTTGCAAAGCTTGTATTTTAATTGCTTTATTTACACCAAAGTACCAGAAGGAAGGACAGTAATTTGGAGTTTGTAAATGTACTGGAATATTGAAAGCATGACAAAGGGGAGTACTGGAATTGAAGTAAAAGGCTCAATTATTTGCCACCATGGAATGTAGTGGTTGTGTTCAAAAACATCAGCTTGGTAAATTCCACTAGGATTACTTGAAAGGATTTTAGCAAGAGATTATTATTTTTCTTTTCTCAAAGTGAGAAGTCTCATGGGCTCAGCAGCATTTTTTAACTTGTTGCTGCTTTGCTCTTTCTATTTTGGCTATTATGTCTGATAGCTGTAGCGATGAAAAATCTTGTCTTGAGTGTCAAAGCCATCTGCTATGGAACTAGTGAATTGCAAAGGGATTTTTGGACATGAATTTTTGTATTACAAAAGTAAACTCGAAACTACTTGCAGGAAAACATCAGTTTCAAATTTTTCTGTCCAAACAATCTATGAAAAAAATTGAATATTTGCAGTGTTTCAATCTGATATTTTGCAAAATAAAAGTTTTTAGTTCTTAAATGGAAAAAGTTTCTGTTTCAAAAAATTACAGAAATTCACAATGAAAACTTTTAATCAAAATAAGTTGATCAAAAAGTGCTGCTCTAAGAACTATATTAATTCAATTATTAATTTAAAGAGTTTTATCATTAATATTGATTCATTTGGTAAAATACTTTATTTTTTTCACTAATCTGAAAATCGTAAAAATATTTTAGAAGTAATTCTTCTGGGATGAGAAGCCTGTTTTACATATGGTTACAAAGTTTGGTACAGAATGAGAGAAAGCATAAGGGAAGCACCATGACTGCTGTGAATTACAGTAGTATGATATGTCCCCTAGCAGCTATCCAAGATAGAATTTGTGAGAATTTGTAGTCTCCCTGCCTTAGAAACAATATTTAACCTGTATCTTGCCTGCATGAAACTGGGTTTAAATTTCATCTGAAATAGTTCGCAAGTCCTACCAGGCAAATACCTTTGAAAATGGCAGATTATTCAGTAATTTTATAAGATTAAATAAATAAAAATAAAATACGTCAAAGCAGACAAAAAAATCACTCCTGGACTTACAACAAGAGAGATAGAGATACTGAATAAGGTATTTTCATAAATGAGTTAAGTTGAGAATAAGGACACAATTTTCATCTGAACAAAAATTGATACGCCCAACCCTCCTCTGTCATATTCCCCTTTGAAATCAGCAGCCATTTCAATGCTGAAGGTCTTTCAATATGCTTTGTAATCAGTATCTATAGTATGTCTGGAGAAAAGGAAGAAACAGAAGAAATCAAATACAATGTTTTCTGCAAAAGTCAGCCCTCTAAGGGCTTACGCTAATAACTCATATGGTGCACAGTGCCAGCTACACATTAGATACACATTATCTCTCTTAAACAATCAAGTATACTCTGTAGTACTCTTGCTATATGGAATTCAGGAAGAAACAGATTTTTCTCTCTTATTTTCAAGTCAGTACTTCTCTTCTCTGCTTGTTAACAGACCAGATTTTATGTCTACCATGTTATATGCGTTTATTTTCATGACATCTCCTACGGCATGAAACACCTTTAGCAGCGCAGTTTGTAACCAGCGTAGTAATGCACCATTAAATGAGGGACCTCAACTGAAAGATACCTCTCTCTTCCTAAGTGACTAAAACATATGAAGCCACGATAAAAAAGAAGAGTCACAGTGCATTATGTATTTTGATAATAATTTCCCTGACAATACCAGTTAGCAGTCCTATGACAGGCTCACTATGAACAAATTACAGAATTACAGCCTTTAATTTTTATTCTTTCTTAACCACTGTCACACTTCCACAAGGTGTAACTTTTTACACCTTTAGCTGCCTGCTGTACTTTGAATATTTTTTTTTCTTGATGGCATTACAATTAGAATAAGTAAAAAAGTAAAAAAAAATAAAAATCAAACAACAACAACAACAAAAACCCAGAGTTTTTATGAGGCTATTCATTTAGTAAGTAAAAAGCAGTATTGTTAAAGAACAGGCCAAGAACAGGTAGCTCAAAGATGGACAATGAAATCTGGATTGTACTAATTCTTACTAGAATGTTTGTAGTTAGTATTGTAAGTATCTTTAAGACAGCGATTTACAAAACTCAGTCACTGCTAACAGTATCCTACTGATGGAGAGAAATAACCATATTTTGTAAATTGTAGACACACATAGGGTTAATTCACAAGCAGAAAAGAAGTATCAGAGATGGAATCGGGGCTCAGAATTTCAGTGACTCAGTATAGATTAATATTTCTCAGCCACGGACAGTGTTCAGGCAACAACACTGAGGATGTAAGCAGGACAGAGAACTCCAGATTCTCCTGTCAATCCCTTTTGTTTTGATTTGTTCTAACAGTGAGAAATGGTGGTGGACATTCTGAATGATGACCTGTTGGTCAGAAGGCACGCACTGAGATCTACTAGTTTTAGAACCTCTTAAGAACCTATCTGAGCCTATACTCTCTAGGTCCTCAAACAACAGAGTAAAACAGACAGTAAACAATCTCAATTGGTCAATAATGACATGCCGTATGTCCTAGAGTTTCAGAACACAAGTTAAAAGAAATGATTTTGCAAGACTCTTCTCTTTACAAGTTTTTCTTCTCTGTAAGGAAATCTAATATCTGTGTCAAACATTCCTTTAAAGAGAAAGGAGAGCTCAGTGGGCTGGGTCAATCATACAGCAAATTCAAACAAAGTAAGAATTACTACATTTTCATAGTGCATAAAACTCATATAACACTGCAAAGACAGAACGACAGAGAGGGTCAGAAGGAGTGTAACAGTTCTTAGAGAATAGCTCCATTAGGGACTTTCCAGAAGCACAAAACCCAATGAGTACTAAACTGAGAGAATATATATGGATAACGTTTGATTACATATGTTTTCTTATTGTTTCTTTTCTAAACAGAAAAGCACAGTAGTACTAATGCTAATTGTATCATATTTTATCTTCCTCATTGTTTTCCAATCTATTTAGAAAGTCTATCTGTACCAGAACTCCACAAGCTTGTTGAAGCATCTGAGCTGCATGGGAGAATAAGCACATGGAGATCCTTAGCAGCAACAGTGCAGGAAAACTGCTGATACAACTTTAGATCAGAAGCTGAGTGATACTTGAGAATACAGTGGTCAATCAGTGAAGTATGCCCACATTTGTACTACTTGTCTACTTGCATTATCATAGCAACTTCAGAAAAACAGTCCTTTCATGCATAGCTTCTGAGTGTATATGCTTTTACCTGCCCCAATAACTCTCTCAATACGAATTCTTGAAGGATCTATCTCCTTTGCAAATTCATGGACAGCAAGGGATGGGTCTTCATATGTGTCTGGATCAATATATGTTTTGATTCCTGGGAAACGTACTGCAAAACAGAGAGAACGCTAAGAGTCAACAATTCTTTGATACTCATATACTACAACAATATGTGTTTTACTTCTTCTTTTTTTAAAATTAATATATATATATCATTTTAAAATTGTCAGAACCTAACAAAGGATGACTCCAAAACCAGCTACTGATTTCACAGAAACTGTAGGATATACAAGAGTTATTCTCATTTGCTGCAAGTTTGGAAGTACTAGGTCTTCAAAGACTGAGCACAGACTTACATATTCCTTTTTATTCTTATTTATCCTTCGAGTGCTTTTTAGTTTTTTCGTTTGTTTGTTTGTTTTAGTTTTTTTTTTTTTTTTTTTCTTTTTTCCCCAAGTGATTCTTGTAAGACATTATAGTTCACCTTCTGAGGTAGAGGACAAACTTCTGTCAATCTGACACAATCAAAACCATTCAAAATTACTGCCTGAAAATGTCACCAATGTTCTGCAGGACTCCGCTGTAATTCCCTAATATATTCTAGGTGAGTGAAAGCATGGAATTGTTTTCAGGATTGTTGCAGTGCATGGTTCTATCAGTCTTCATTTTAGCTTGGTATTGGAGTAAAACCCAGAGAAAAATACAGGTACTAGGTTCTCTAAATGCTCTGAATGCCATATATCATTGCTTGCTGGTTACTATCATGTTTGCTGGTTACACAGGTGCCACAGGAACAAAAAGTCAAAGGCCTTTAAAAAACTCTATTTTTGAATTTCAACTGATAAGACAATGTCAACTTCTGGTGCAGTTTTGTCTTTGTTGCAGCTGAACACAAGCACCTCCTGAGGAAAAAAGTTAAATAATAGCCCTACATAAGTTTTGAGGAAAATACTATTCTAGGTAAGACAAAGTGGTTTTTTCTTTCTTTTTTTTTTTTTTTCTCTCCCCAATTGTAAGTATTCCCTTTCTAATTGCCATTTAATATTTTTGTCTGAAGAAACTCTTTGTTGTCTTTGCACTTAACTCATATCCTGAAGAAATTTTTCAAGTACAGTTGGTAAACTGGGAAACTACAACCTTAGAAAATGCAGAGAGCTGCTCACTTGGAAGAGTGTCTACAGAGACACCAAGTGAAGGCTCAAAGATATGAGGAAAAGCAGATCCTCAGGACTGACAGTGATTACTGCCAAGCAGTTTAAATTCCTGTTTGTTACTCCTTGGACAATTTAGACTGTCATTTACTTGGAAAACACAGCTTGCTAATTTACTTCTGTCTTTTACTGGTGGACTGATAAACATTCCTTTTGCCAACCAGGTCCAGTCTTTGAGATTTTTTCCTCTCAGAATGGGTCCTGGAGGACTGTGCTGCTTTGTTCTATGCTGATCAGTTTGCACAACCAATGAGCCAGGTGCAAGATGAGAACAAAAATACCCAGATCCATTAACAAAGCTTTAATAATTTCTGTCTGCTTCCTAGGAGATGGCTGCAGCAACAGTAGGTTAGTGCCAGATTGCTTTGGCAGGTTCCAGCAAGCCATCATTTTCTGGCATGTCTAATACCCCTAGTGCTTCTGAGTGCAGCATGTCCAAGAACTTATGTTGTTTCTTTTGGACTATCTGGATGGGAATTTTTTTTTGGCTCCTGCTATGTGGTGATTAAGTTCTGGAAAACTTTCAATTCATTAACAGACATTGATGTAGATGGTGCATCAACTTCACAGGGTATTGCAGCTGGGTCCAGAGAACCTCTTCAAAAAGAATTAAGTACTACATAATCTTTTTCCTCTTATCACTTAGTGGATGAGTCCAAAGTACTTCATTATCTGATGCACCTAAATGCAGTAGATGACACCTAGTTCAGGGCATACAAATGTGGATGGGCTTCATCAAATCACCTGCAGTACCCATTTGAACCAATGCTGACGAGAGAACACATGCTATATTCAAATGTGAAGCACACCAAACATCATGGGATTTCACGTTATCAGCTGACCCTTTCCTAACTCCCTTCAAAGGGCATGGTTCCTGAAATCTTCCTCTAAGTCAGAAAGGTTTCCCAAGGGAGATAGGATGGATAAACATAAAGATGGTTCTCCTCTGTGCGCAGCAGAGGAAACAAAACATGGATATGACTAAGCTGGTAATAGGAATAGTCAATTTTAACCAGTGTAAGTTTTACTGTAAAATTTCTTTCAAAAAGCTTCAACCTGTTTAGGAGAGGTCATCCCTACACTGATCCAGGTAGAAACTCTGCAGCTGCCTAAATTGTTTCAGGTTAAGACGCCGGATACCAAAACAATAAATAGCCCACAGTCAGGCAAGAATTGCTACTAGCATGAAATGGCACTTCTGGTGGAGGCACTAATTGCTCCATTGTAAAGGAAGGAATATTGTTGGCTACAGTTTTAGCTACTGGAGTAACTCACAGTAGCTCCTCTTTATCCTTTATCCTATGGAACACATGATCTGGGAAATGCTCCTTCAAGTCTGATGCTTTGATAACTGCAAACGAATGAGAGGCCTCATAAGATGAAGCTTTGTGTCAGTGTGAAATAGGGTCATCATTTGTCCTGGCATGAAAGACACCGAGTGAGGCTTTTCTCAAATTCAGGTATGGCCTCCAGAGGCATATATGAAACTCTGCAGCAGGAAGGTTTTTGTTTGCTGCTCTTCCTGATCAGATTTGAAAACAAATGACAAACAAATCTAAGAAATATCTTTTATAGTATAATGTGCCCCTTCTCGATATGGAAGGAGCCTCGATACAGTTTTGTCACACAAAAAATGATTTTATTTCTTGTGATGTAGCTTTTGTCTTGATCATGATAATTCTAGAGATGTTGTCAAAAGGAATAAAAAATTAATCAAACTACAAAGACCTTCCTACAAGCTAACAATAAATATAACCTTTTTTTTTTTTTTAATCAACTCCAACATAAAACAATCAGACTACTAATTTAAACTAAGTAGCTACACTTAGCTAAATAACTTAACACTCTGCCCATGAGAGTTTTTCTTTCACAGTAGTGATCAGTAAGCAAGAGAGAGAAGGAAGTCTTATTTGTTGTGTGGCTGGAAGTGTAGATCCCAAAAGACACTAATAGAGAACTAAATACAAATAAGGAACATGGTCACTAGGAGTGGAATTTTGAGGCAGATAATCAACATGGCCCAGTCCAGTGATGAATTCACAAAAATGCACCTGGAAAATTGACAAATATGATTAATAGAACACAAAAGAATCCTTTTGTGAATTCAGTGTGAATTGTTCTAGAGAGCATACAAATAAGAACCGTCTTGATGGTGCAGATAATAAGGAAATATGCAAATGGCTAGATTAAAATATCAAGGGCAAAAGATGAAGAGAAAACCATGAATCCTTTTCATTTAGAATATAATACATATTTTATGTAACACAGTGTTAAACTACTTACAATTTCCATTTTGCAAATGAGCCCTTCTCTTCTCTTCAGATTTCATTTTGGCCTTTATGTACCACTGGCATCTTTTAAGAAAAGTAAGTAAGGTTTTTATTAAAATGAATATCATGCATAAAATAAATGTACATTAAGTTTTCTCTGCAGTTTTATGAAAGCCAAAGTCTTTACATTCTGCATCCACAGACATTTGGTATTGACACTAAGGAGAGAAACAAACCTGAAGAACTACAAGCAGATTGGATATCAGTGAAGATAAATCACAGGTGGATGATTAGTAGTTAACACAACTACCAAAGTTTGATGCAATACCTTATTCCCATGCTTGAAAGAATGTTGATACTTATATTATTTTTCTGCACCCTTGTTTGCATACATTGATTCACACAGACCAAATCTTATCCTAATAACTCTTATTCCCAGTGGGTCAAAAAGCTTATAATTTCTTCATAAGATAAGTTCTTTGAGTTCAACTGGGTTCATAAGAAAATAATTTTTTTGTATCCATTAGGACCGGTATTTTTCCTTCTGTTAGCTCTGTTCAGCCTGTCAGGCACAGACTAGCTTTCCTGTGTTCATATTAAACTTATAACACAAACTAAAATTATTGATTGTATTTCTAGTGAAATAGTAATCATGGAGTTATGAGAAACAAGTGAACACATTCACCACATATCAATGGTTCATTCAAACTACTGAAAAAGACTGAAAAAGGTCACTCACAAATGCATTCACTGCTGTGGAGATGAACCCTTGAAGAGCAGAAACTTCTGAAGCTAACATACCTGGCAATAAGTTGTACGTACACTAATGTATGGAAACACTAACCACAGTATTTTCAGCTTCTGTGGAAATCTCTGCATTGTTGTCACCAGTTGCTGTGACCAGTAGTTTCCAATTACCAAGAACAATACTGAACACAAAGTGTTACACTTGGAATACACTTGGTCTGACCAGAGGAACACTCAGAGAAATAGCCCTCTAAACCCTTAAAATTCTCCCTAGTATTCAAAGCCCCAGAATTTGACTACAAATGCCAGTGAGAACCAGCAGTGGACTCTTCCAGTTCCAGCTCCTACTACTGTTAGCTAGAAAAATCACTTGAAAGGAATAATTTGTGTAATGATAAATCACAGTAAGCTTTACTACTCTGTTTTCCAGAGTTTAGCCAAGACCCCAGTCTCACTGCCTACATTGTACCTTCAAGTCACTATTGCTTTCATTTTACTACCTGCAATGGAGAGCCATGTCTCTTGCTTGCTCTTGGTGGATAACCGCTCAGTGGAGTGCAGAGGCAGGTAGGTGCTCATTTAACCCAGCCTCTTCACTATGAATCAGCATCAGCAGCGATGTGACTCAGTAGCTCATCAAATTGCTAATTCTAAACAGCAAAGAGCACATCTGTAGTATACCAATCCCATTCTTCATGCTGAAATTTGTCTCCAGTACTACAGCAAATAGTATTTATTCAAAATTTTCTTGCTCTGTCTTCTATGCAGTACATTCTTATCATTTAATTAAGAAGTACTTAAAAATGAATTTACATCTTACATAATTGAAATGGTTCAATTGAGTGAAATGTTAGAAAGCTAAGAGAATCTCTGATATCTTTAACATTAGCAAACAGGAAGAATAAACCTAGAAAGAAACTCATTTCCTTTTTTTTTTTTTTTATTCCCTGAGTGTTTTATCAGGGAAAAGTTTGGCTTGGGCTTTTAGGAATTGCTCTCAAGGATTCCAGAGAATCATTTTCTCTGAAAGTCTGTTTTTGAATAACTCTTCTGTCTGAAAGAGAGTAATGTTTGTCAATGTTTCTAGTAATTGTACGAATATTTTACAAGCTTCTAAGATTGAGATTACAGTGTGTTCCAATGTGAGTCGCTTCAGTTAAATAAAATGTTAGACTTAACCAGATTTATTATTATTCACATAATGCCTGCACTGTTACATCATTTTCTTTCCTAATCAGAGGTAATGGTATAAAAACAACAGAAAAATATTTACAAATCTGAATGCACAGCACTGCCTGTTAATATCAACCCAATCTGTAATGACCATTAGCACCTTCATAGAAGTAACTTTAACATCTTTCATCCAAAGGACAGACTCTAAACAGGCCCAAGAATTGCGCAAAACCCCTTCCAAACCCCAGATTTATCTGTCCCAAAGCAAACTTCATGGAGAACCCTCCTCACATGGAGGCTCTTCCACCAGTTTTATGCATATGAAGAAAGGAGAGGCAAAAAGAGTATGAATGGCCCAAAGACTACACAGTTCCTCCTACAGAACTTACTGCAAGAGATATGAGCCCGACTCCTTCTGCTTAGCCCATACCTCTACAGAATATTAGGAATTTTTAAGGCTTTTTTGACCCAAAGCAGAACTGCGGTGCCACTAATGTCTTACAGAGCAAGTGTGGACGTACTGTCTCTATCCTTTTAAATTCTGATTATTTCCTGGTAGAAAGAAACAAAATCCTAAAGTCACACACACAAAAAAACCAGATGCTCTGTGTCACGTGTTCATCTTGAGCTCCAGCAAGGTCTGGGATTCTGACCACTACCTGCATTTTTAGCAAGTCTGTTAAGAATTTGTGCATTCCCTTGAACTTTCAGCGTGCAGTTGAGCACAGCATCAAGCCAGTCAAATCAAAACAGTTTCTAAACCATTAGCACAATGTCTTTATTTGATTCTGACCAACATACCAATTGAGGAAAGGTAGACAATTAGCACTGTGCTAAAAGGAATAAAATGGACTTGCAAGAATAAAAATCACCAACATTATAAAAAATAATCAGTGAATTCACTTGCTACAGCGCTGTTGTAACGTAGATTTACAAGAGTATCTGCAATAAAATGTTAATGAACAAAACAGGAAGCTAAATCATCCCAATATTCTAGAGTAAGGTTTTCCTCGATTTAATTTCATTTCATAATTCTTATGTTCTCTCTTGATAAATGCACAAGTGTACATATCATACACAGCTATGTAAGATATTTTTGCCTATAAACTTAATATAGCAAAAAAAAAACCAAAAATTGTCCACACAATGTCTTTACCAAACTATACTGCCAGTCCCAAGACATCAGAAATCCTAAAGTTACATTCTCCAAAGCTTTGCAATTTACAGTTAAGGGATTTTATAATAAATATTGTGTTTTGTGTTCTTTTCTTTGTCTTCTAATGTTAGTTGCATTGTATTTTAAATTTTGTTCTCCTCCTGCCCATATCAGCAGGAAAGACGGTCAGAAACTTATTTAAAAAAAAAAAACTCTGAAAATGTGGCTACATTGCTTAGCTATTCTTTATAAATTCTTAGGCTTGGATAACACAGACCCCGAGCAAATGAGAACAGTGTAGATTTAATTACCTCCCAGTGATCAGGAAGAACAAAGTGAGGATGACCAGGAGAGTGAATCCACCAACAGCAGCAGTGGCAATCACGAGAATCTGTCCCTGCTCTGCAGCCATATCAGAAGCTGAAAGAGAGGCACAAAGAAAGAGGTTGAAGTTCCAGCACCTGGGATTCATGCAAAATGGGTGACAACATTTAACTAGCCACAAGTTGCAATTACTCTGTAGTAGTTCTCTTGGTGCTTAGACCAGACATGATGTGAGAATGTATCATCTGTGAAGTGAAAAACCTTCAGCTGTGTACCAGCTATGAAGAAGTGTGGAATACTTCTAAAGGTTTCTAAAATGAGAAGCACCATCAGGCACTTGCAATTTACTAAGATCTGAGAATGACTGGATTTTGGACATAAAACTAGAACAAATGTATTGCCGTTTTAGCTTAACCTTGCTTGTTATTAAAAAATATCTGTGCATCTAACTATCCAAAACAAAGTCAGCAGCAGTATTACACATGTAGGAATTCAGTAGAATCTTAAGCAGAAAAAGCACATGTAACATGTAGCCTGACACACCCTTCTATGTTTTTAGTATTTAGATTTATTGTTACAGATTTATACGTCTATCTTTAATATGCTTTGAGGCCTGGCATCACTGCAACAGAAAAAAATGATTCTTTTATGCTTCATGTTTTTCTCTGTTATTTTTTGTAGGTCATTTAGCAGGTAAAAAAGATCATTTGAAATAGTCTGTAGAGGCTTGAGCTATTATGTTTTCATTATAATATTAAATATTTATTTTGATGAAGTACCTGCTCATAGTCAGGATGATCCTCATTGTGCAAGTACTACTCAATACGAGAACCATATCTCCCGCTTTGTGACTTTTTTATTCTTAAAGTAAACACAGTTACACTTCTATTTTTTCATATGACATTTACCTAATTTTTACTTTCTTTTTTCTATAAGAAACACAATATTGTTCTAGAAGAAGAATACACATTTCACAGGATCACAGAATCACAGTTACCTCTGAGAACAACAGTAAGTAAGTGTAGAAAAGAAAATAAATTCTAGATTTATTAAGAAAGCAACTTTGACTTTGTAAACTTCCCAACAAAATCTTTCAGTTTTCTTTGGGCATCAGATGATTACAGCTTCTAGCTGCTGTAAAAAGAAAGCTCAGCAGCCTGTTTCTCACTTTCCAGTTGATGAAGCCCAATACAATGCACACATCACTGCCTAAAGCCTCATAAAAAGCTGTATTCAAGAAAAAACATTTGTCTTCTAAATATTTGTGAGAGGTTTAGAAGTTAGCATTGTAAACTGGCTTTGTAATAAAAGTGAAACAAATAAAGGTAGTAGTAACTTATGTCCAATTTTCAGCAAAACCAACTTGTTAAATTTCTGACATTAGATTTCTGCCCATATAATTTAATGGAGATATGCAGAGGCAGTAAACTATAAGGCATTCAGTATCTGTGGTCATAAACTCTCCTTAGACAAGTTAAATGCACGCATCTTCCGATAAATTATGTATCAAAAGCCTTTATCAAATACTCACTAAATAGCTAATCTCCAAAACAGAATCTAGTGGTACCACAGGAATGGATCTGCATTATCTTATGCTCCACAGTGTCAGGTTTAGTTGAAAAAATTCAGCATATAGTACGGTGCCACAGAAATAAAAAGGCAAATATAATAGGCTGTCCAACTCAAACACTGAATATGATTTCAGACTAGCAAGGGTTATGCTAAATGTTGTAAAGATGGACAGGGTCAGTCTGAAGTTGTAACGGGTAAGGGAGGTTTTCAATGACTATATCTTGCCCAGTTTCCATTTCTGTAATGGAAGTGAGAGAACAAACTACAAGCTATTTATTTATTTACTTATTTATTTATAGGAAAAGGAGTGCAAAAATAGTGACTTTAGCAAGTGATGCTTTCAGATAAATTAGCTGAGATTTTCTTCAACAGCATTCCATTAAAATAAAACAAAACTCAGGGCCTTGCTTCAAGATTATTCAAGTTCTGTGTGGAAATGTAGGAACTGATCCTATTGTCTAAAAAGGCCCTGTGCTGTATACTAAAACGAAAAATGCTGTTGTTCTGAATTGTTCCCACTGGATGAAGCTGCTTGGAGTTTTACTTAAAGCTGACTACAAGCTATCAGTTTAATAATATACACATTTCCTATCAGGAACCACAGTCAAGTTCATGAATGGAGAGAAGTTCCCCACCAACTTAGTTCTTTTTGTGTCTAACTGATATACCTTTAAGTTGAGACTGTATACTCTTAAAAATGTTTGTTCTGTTTCTAGCATATGTATTTCACTGTATTGGTACAGATGCCATAGCCCATTTGACTACAGAGGGCCTTTCAAGCCTGAAACTTCTTGATGACCTTAATTTATTTGTCAGATAAAAATGTGAAATGACAGACAAATATAATTGGAAAATGCGGATTTGTTAAAAACTGTCAGAGAAACAGGTAGAGCAAAATGATAGTAATACTTATTTTTGCTTGAAGTGATCCTTCCAGAAATCAATGGAGGCACAGTGCAGTGAACAACACATAGATAACTACAAAGGCCATGTGTGTGCATACAGCATCCTTGCACACAGGTTCTACAAAACGCTCTCCAGGCAAGGAGAATATGTTAATGTTGGAAACTCAATAATGACAATTTTTGAACAATTTTTGCTGTCCAAAATGAAATTCTGCATGTCCCTTGATCTTTCTGTTCTTTCTCATTTTTCAGTTTCTCTTCTAATTAAGGAAATGTCCTAATTAAGGAAAAGTTGTAAATAATAAAGGCTTTAACAGGTATTGTTTTGGTTGTGTCCATTCTTTACTCATTTTTCGTCATTTCCTGCTTTTTTATGTCATTTTTCCTCTCCATCATCTGTGCATATTTATATATGTCCCCATATTTCTCCTCAAGAGTATTCTTGTTTATGTAAGACAGAAAAACTAAGTTAAAAAAACAACGATGAATGCAAATTCAAGCAAGTTTCTGCAACTTATTTTATCTTTTGATGTGTACATGTTATAGTGCTGCATTTAATCATGGGATCACACAGCCATTTTCCCAGAATATTATTCATTAGATATCAGGGCCAAAGTTTGTGTAACTAAAATCAGTTTTCTGTTTTCTTTACAATTTGTAGTGCATTATCTTAATCAGCACCTGCTGACTGTGCACAGGGATTGATAGTTCCGTGATCACAGGGATGAACATGGCTGTATGGTCTATGGGGATACACTCCACTTGACAGTTGTCATGAACAGGCAAGGAGCTGAGAAAGCTCTCAAGGAACAGGAATGTGTAAACCACCAGCAGATCCAATGGGAAAATGACTGCCAACTGACTGCCTCTTTCCTTATTCTCCTGTTCCTGTTTGCATTTATGACATTACACCTGTCTGCAGTGACATTCCCGCGGCAGTGTAAATTGGGAGGTTGGTTCTGTACACCTTCAGCTGTTCGCAGCAGCACTGGAAAGAAAAAGGTTAGTGTTTGCTATGGTTCCCTTGCTGGTGTTCCAAGATGCAAAAGGATTTGTCTCCCAGGCTTTTTGCTCCAGAGATGTCTCATGAGAGAGCTTAGAACCTGTCTGAGTGGCTGTTATGTACGGCATTTTGTTTCATTCCTTCTGCCCATCTGCTCAACACGTTCATTTTGACAAAAGCATATTTTTAAAAATGAGTGGCATGAGGCAAAGATAAGGATGGATTTATGAGTTACCCAGCAGATGACTAGATAGTACAGTGTAAGGTTTGGGTGTCAGAACTTTTCAGCATAGTGTATGTACCACTGACACAAAGCGGTGCACTGATTGTAAAACTACCATACATGTCATACATAATTCTATCCCAAATTATATTATCTATGCAAACTGTTTACTCACATTACTCTTCATGATTTACTCAGAAGTACGTTATTTGCTTAAAATGACACTTAAGAGTTCCTAATTGCATTATTCCAGATTCCTTGCTCAATAATGTGTACAGTTTCCTTGCTAAATAAGAATTTCTTAATTCATTTTGAGATCAGTTCAGATCCTGCCAGTTATTCTTTATATTCAAGCTCTGTCTCAGTTACAACTTTTCACTGGGTTCTTCACCCAAATGCGTAGAGGAGGACCTGCACTTCCCCTTCTCTCTGGAATGAAGAGAAATATCTGATGCCTCTTCACTTCCTCACTTGGAAGACTGTGAGAAATGGCGCATAAATTTTATTCACAGCACAAGACAATAAAAGAAAAAGAGAATCTTCCAGTTCTATTTTCCACTTTTCTTTGAGCAAATGTCTCCAAAATCTTTTAGAAGGTTGTGTATTCGGTATAAAAGGTCTGGCAGCCTTAATGATAGCTCTCCTCTGTCTCTCAGCTACATGCTTTAGTTATTTCAGTTTGACATCTATCAGGCAGCAGACCTTCCAGCAGTGTGAAAGATAAAGTAGTGACAGAAAGACAGCTAGACAGATAATAGTGAGTAGCTGTGAGATAGATAAGTATGGATGGTGAGAACTGGAGCTCTAACAGACAGTACGGACTGTCAGATGGATTTACAAGGCACTGTAAGCAACAGAGCTAAAGAACAATAGGAAAGAAAAATAAAGGGTCTAATAAGGGTTACCTTCACCTTTCCAGAAGCGCTGCAGTTCCTGTGAGCTGATGGTCTCCAGTCTCAGAGGGTATGTGGGAAAAGGAGCAGGCAATGGAATGGAAAGCTTAAAAGGGCTTTTAAAAGTGAAATGAAATACTATTACTAGTATAAGTTTGCATTAATTCTTTGCATAAATTGACTTGAAAAGCTTCTTTTCAAAGTGTTGCCAATAACATTAACTTCCTGACCAGTAGGTGAATGGAAAGCCTGTGATAAAAAATTAAGATCTGAGCAAGGAATTGCTCTTGTTTAGGAAATTAAGACAGAAAGTAAAGACTCTGGAACTTCTGGGAACCAGACAGGGTAAGCTCATATTAGAAGACCAAATGGCTGAAAATATGAAACACAGTAAGGAAACATTTCGAGATTAAAATGAGACACCCTGAGGTATCCAGTACTGACTACAACTGAATGAAGAGCAGGACTAAGCAGACATGGGGATGGATACAGCAAGGCAGTTTTTAAATAGGAGGTAAGTGCAGTCTGTTTGTTTGTTGGTTTCATTCAGGAATTGGAATTACTATTGTGAAAACAGTGTTCTGACAAAACAAACAAACAAACAAACAAAAAAACCCCTCAACTTTGCACTGGCAACTTAATGTGTTTCTAAAAATCCTAGAGACAGATTCTCTAACATGGCATGAATCAAGGCAAGCGCTTGAAACAATACTGGAGAGACTCCTGTCAGAATCAATGATTCAAGACTCTCCTCTGGAGTTCTGGAAAAATGGATCTCAAAGTCTCACTCACATGTGACTACAAATCCAAAAATAGCCTGATTTGAGGCTGAAAAATTACAGATAAATGTTGTGGATGTGGGAATAGAAGGAAGAACACGAGGATTAACAGATGTGGTAGTACAAGAAAAATCACCATCTGCACCTATATTAAAGAAATTAAAGTTACTTTTTCCACAAGAACAGAGTTTTTCAGACCAATTAATGTCTTACAGTCCTCATAAGATAATTAATGTCAAACAGTCCTCGAGCTACTCTATTATAATTTCTGTTTCTTGTTTTGTTTTTAAAATTATTATTCTGACGTAGTTGAGCCATCTAGGAGTCTACATTGATTTTTTAAAAACCACAATGTGGTTACTTTTGCCACACTCTATTCAGTTGAAGCAGTAGCCTGCACTGCACCTTAAAAAGTCTGCCCCTTAAGCCCCTTCTACGACGAGCCAAGTTTTCTGTCAGATACAAATTTCTTTCCTGATGATGGGAAGTCTGGTATGGAAACCACACTTGGATTCAGAACAAACCCTGCAAAAGACAGTCACAGCATGGAAACACTGCACTGACTACCAGCAGAAAATTGTTCAATCTTTTACAGATTCCTGTAGGCACCAGGGCCTCTGAATTGAGACTATAAGAAACATTCGTCAGAAAAAGAAAAAAGAAAAAAAGGAAAGCTTTGAACTGTTGCATCTATAAACCAACCAACCAAACAAGAAAAATCCACCCTGCTGAAACAGGGTGACTGCTAAAAATGGCAATGAGGAAAATGGTCAAAAGCTGTAGTTAATATGCTTTGCAAACGTGTTACATGGAAATTTCCCAGCAGCAGCCTCTTAGTTACAACAGTGGAAGAAATCTCTCACAGTATCCATCCCTACTTCCTTGAAATGACAATTTTTCTGACTTTTCTAGATAACTACATTTCCCTTCAGGAAGTACAAATGTTACTCTTTTAGCTGTCTCTGCATCAGGGAGAGTTCTTTCTCCATTATCATGCTCTCCAAGTAATGATTGCCTCAGTTTGTTGGCCAGGAGGTTGGAGGGCTTCCTAAAAAACTGACCACCACTGTATGACTGCTTGTTCATGGCTCCTACGCAGTTGATCTTTCTGTTTCATGCACCACATTTAATAATTTTACCAAAACTCCTTGGTGTTCCTAGTAACAAAGTATCTTATTTTATCCTACGGAATTGAAGCAGCATAGATAGCGTTTCAACCAATAAACTGGAGAAGGCATGATGGCACCGTTCTACCCAAGGTGTTGACAGACAAATGTCACAACTGAATACTCAACATTTGTTGCATTACTTTAAAGAAAAATCTGCATTATGGACTGCTCACTGTACTACTATTTATTAACAAGATATGTCAATTTCCAAACAAGATAAATGGAATACCTTTGGTTGTTCTGGAATCGGTCCCTAAATTCTTCTAGATGCTAACATTCAACATGTAAAACCTCAAAACCTGAAGTATTTATTGTAATTTTTATGAGATTGTTGGTGGATAAAATTCATTTTGAAAACAAATACTTTTCAAAGACTCTATTCTTCCCAGTCTTTTAATGAAAATGTTAACTTCCTACGAAATCAGTATAGCTCACATTAACTTCAAATCTGGCTAATTGAAAACCCACAAAAAGTAATTGTAAGTGTGGAATTTTCACAAAGTAGCTTGTTTCCAATAGGTACGGTTTGAGGGAGCTGTAACAGTCTGTCCTGGTCTAATATTATTTAGAGTTTTTCAGAATAATAAAGAACAATATATATTAAAAAGCTAGAAAAACTTCAGCTGAAATGCACATTCTCAGAGAAGTAAATGATAAGAGATTATTACATAGCTTGATTTGGATTGCTTTGTAAGATTGGTGCATGCCAGCAAATTTGACTTATCATTTATTTGCACTCAACTGACCATTCAAAATAAGTCTAAGCACAACCCTTCTCAATCACTACATCTAGAAGTAGGTCAATATCTTGGAATACAAGAGTATCCACAGAATTGTTGTTTTGTCAATCAGTTGCGTAATGCAATCCTCTATTTGAACAGCAAGTGCTTGGATCTATAAATAAAACTGAATTAATAGGAGGTAAGTAGTGTTATGATTGCTTACTGTATCATAAACAGGTTTCCTTCTCCCTCTCAGTTCAGTATCAGGTTCAATTCTGATGCTATAGCTCAGAAAAGATGGTAAAATTCTACAATGATTCTGTGTTTGGATAAAATGACTTTTAAAGTCAGAAGAGGATTATGAAATCCAAGTTAAAAAAACAAAATCAGGTCATAAGCACACGACAAATTTTAAAGTATAAAGACTAAATGATAGAACTATCTGTCTCTAAATATTCTGAGCTGCCCATCGCTGAAAGACTGTAAGTCCAGACTGTTTATGGGAGATGTTACATTTCAATCTGCTTTCATTAGCTGACTGGAAAAGCTTCAGTTACAGAGGTGCTGTTAATGTTACAAAAGGAGTTCAAACGAATAGCCATAATAATCTGATAGTGCATTAAAGCTTAGAATAGGCCTGCTTCTAAAACACTGCTTTGAGGAAGCAAGATATTCGGAAAGTATAAAGGTACAATTTGACTGGTCATTGAGAACTGCTTCCATTTGAAATAAGTAATATTTACCAGCATGTACACTTCCCATTTTTTTCCTTTTAAATTTGAAGTAATACTTACTGTTCTAACAGGCCTTTGAACAACCCTTTCAATTAAACAGAGGTATTCATCTAGCACCATTTCAAACAGCTACAAAATTTCCCTCTACCCCCATCTCCGTTGATCATAAGCAAAGCCTACATTTCCTCTGTTCATATTTCCTTTCAATCACTCAACGATATCATTTTGTAACAAATTAAATACTTTTAGTTAGGAATAAGCCTAAGCAATAAATGTTGGTAAACAGTAAATATATAATGTACATGTTTTACTATTAAGATTCACAGTGAATACTTAGAAGTCATGAAGGCACTTAACGTTTAAGTGTTGAAATCTGAAATATATTTTTTACAATACAGACCTTTTTCTATAGAAAACTTGTGCTCCCACACAATAGGAAGACAGACATCTAAAATCGGTGCATCATTTACTATATCATCTTACGTTGCAAAATCCAATGTTTCTTCAAAATGAGATCAAAATTTGAAAAAAAACATGACGTGAAGTAATTAACCATTTCTTTTTTTTACACAATAGCTCATGTTAATATTGGTGTGGCAACAGTATTTCCCAGAGAGAGAAAATGATACTTTTTGTGAGAGAAACTCATAACAGCATTGTGTAAACTACTTTAATCTATGACCCATTCTTCTGTCTCAAAATGGAGGACCATGTGGCCCAACCAGTCCTTCTCTGCATCCAGTAAACTTGCAGAAAAACTCAAGCTTCTAAGTTATCTTTTAGGCTTTTCAGAGCATCATCTTTAGTCCTTTTTATCTTTTCTCTCATGATTTTAGAGCTAAAGGTGCTCCAATACATGCAGTCCCTTGACTTTTGGCATTATGGAAAGTCTATAGGGATTTGAACTTCTTCAGACATTTGATACTTGGAAGGGTGAATAAAGAATACAGTAACATCTACAATGTTAACATCTACAGTACAGTAAACTGTACTACAATGATACAATGATACAATCTACAATGATAACACCGGCTTACCTGGATGCGAGTTTATAGTACTTTATCAATTCAACTAACTCAACTTTTAGTTACTTGTTCTTATTAAAAATAAATAAATAAATAATTAGGATTAGCACACTACTCTACCTCACATTGCAGCCTGACAAGGCAGTTGCATTAAGGAAAATGATAAGAAGATGAGGAGTTTGGTAAGCATGCACGGACTTTCACAACCTTGAGACATTTTTATCAATAGTATTTATGACAGAAATCAGGCAATAGTCTTCCTAATTTAGATTAGGACTTTAGAGAATTTAGATTTAGACTTTAGAGTAAGTCCAATTTGTCCATATATAACATAGGCTCACGGAGGTTTAAATAGCATTTACTTCTCGTAACAGTTATAACTCATCGTGCCTAAAGGCTAGCATTTTTTGCATCATATGATGCAAACAGGTACTACTAGAATTCTTGAAAGCACCCAAGTGCTTTCCTTATCAATCCAACTGGCTTAACAACTTAGAAAAATTTAGAAGTCCAATTAGGCATTAACTACTTGGAAATCTGTCCCTAAAACATTTTTGAAATAGAAGTTAAAAAGCAATAAAAATAAAACACAAACTCATGGGTGCTCTTGAAAATACATGCACTAGTACTGAGTCTGTACTTTAGCCTAAGTAACTTGAATTCCAAAACTCTAACGAAAAACACAGTGTACATAATTGGTTAATTAAAGCAATTTCATTAATGAGTGTTTTAGAGCTGCATCTACTACACTCATTTTATCTCAAATGCTTGTAAATATCTTGTTCATGGTTCCTTTGAAGGTGCAAGCAATATGTAACATACAAAACTGTTCTAAGTAAGAGCCTTTTTTCATATTCTTCAAGAACGTAGGATTTTCGCTTCTCACTGGCAAATTTAGTGAAATTATAGGTTGAAATACATATTAAAAATGTCTTTTTTATTATATTCTAAGAGCATTAAAAACTATAGAGAAACGAGTCCATCAGTGTGTTCTAAGAACCTGCATGAAGCTGCTGGACTTAGGTGAAATGGAAACCTCACACATGATAATCGCAGAGGTTAAAGAGAAGGCATTCTTTAAACGAAGAATGGATCTATGGCAAACCAGGGGATCTTGCAGAAATAAACATTCCTTCAGCTGCAGTAGTGGACTGAAATTTCTATCTGTTACTCGAGAAAAATAAATATATCTAGAAGTGTGAGGCTAAGGCTTACTTCTTGTAATACAGCAGTGGTCACTCTGTGATAAATATATGGAATGGATTCAGCCATTTAAACTCTCAATGTCTGACTGTTCTAGAATTAAATGCTACTTCTATTGTATTTGATTTTTTCCTTTCAATAAAACTTACTTTCATCTCCAGTTTCAAATTCAAACTTCTGGCTATAGCCGCTGTATCCTGCTGCCGTCCTGACTCTGATATGAAATATATACTTGGTGGCTGGCTTGAGACCTGTGATGATAACACTTGGAGCCTTGGACCTTGTGGAGGAATAGCTGAGCTGCTCATGCTCCTGAGGGACAAAAGAGGGGAGAAATGATATCAAGTTGAGTTGTACAAACTTAACAAAAATGATACAGCAAAACTGAAGCTCCAAATTCTTCTCATGAATGTAAAATGTGTTTATAAAAGAAGGTGCAGGTATGGATATCAGTACTTTGATTTTGTGCTACAGTCACAATGTATGATATGGCCTTGACTTAGATATCATTTTTTCTGCCCTTAGTCTTGCATATAGACACATCACATCTCTGTGACTTAGGTTAGTAATTACACTGTAGTCAAAATAATATGGAATTAGTACAAGACTATATTCACAGAAAATGACAACTAGAATGGCAGCTAACTATTTTTGCACAATAGACAAGCTAGGAGGTCAGTAAGCACTAGTAAGCTATAAAGTAAAGATGTGGGAGTATTCAAATACCCGCTACTCACTTCTACCCGCAGGTAGTGCCAAAATGCCGGCGCTATCCGTGGGTAGACCTGTGGGTAAAAGAAAATAAAAATTAACCTTTTCTTTAAAGTCTGTAAACTTTTAGCATGGCTCAGCTGAATCACTGATGTTGACCTTTATTTCTCTTTCCAGGTAGCAGTAATGTAGCTGTACATGAAATTCACTTTTACATTCTGTAAGGAGAGACACTTTGAAATTCTCCAGCTAATTTCCTACCAGTTGATTTTGGGTATCTGCTGAGAATTCCTGAAGCTCACAGGGTCAGGGAATTGCCACTGCAGACAAGCTGCTGTAATGCGGAGATCAACCACAGCGACTGCTGCACAAAAAGGAAGTGCTAGACACATTTTTGGTGACTCATTTAAATGAGGAAATGTCTTAAAAGAGAGTCTATTGCCTGTCATTAGTTACAGCCACTCGATAAATCTGTAAGCTGTAATATTTTCTATGGTGCCTTAAGGCTAGCTTTACTGTATTACAGTAGGAGTCAACCACAAACTGATAACATGAACAGAACTGTCCTTGGCACATGCTCAATAACCCAACTGTAGTACCCATAGGGCACCATATAAATTTATTATAACATGCAGTATTATTAGAGTATGCATGTATTATTCAAAGGATGCTTCCAGCCTATTCAGAAGGAAACAATCTTGTTCACAGAAGAGATATAGCAAGGAAAACATAGTTTCCAATTAGATTGTTGAACTTCTAACCTGTTCTGAACATATGTGTATTTTTTGTATAAAACAAACAGTAATCACAATGAGTCAACTGGAGTCACAGCATAACAAAGCCACATCAGCATAGGGCAAGAAGTACATCAGTATTCCTCCAGTACACATACAAGGAGATGGATAAGAAGATCAAATTAAAAATCAATCAAACACACAAAAACGACTTAGTGATTCTGTTAAAGAGAAGGAAGGTATGCAATAAGGACTGATATTTAAAATAAATGTATCTAACGCTCAATAAAAACAGTGGAAATAATTTGAGAAACGAGAGTAAAAGGAAGAGTTGATTTGTTCCACAGTCTATTAATAAAATTTAAAATCTCAAGAAATGTGTATTCAAATTGAAACATTAGGGCACTGTGTAAGCAATCTTATGAATGGCAATTACAATTAACATAAAAAGAAATTTAACAACTGGTTTCAGCATCAGACTTCTCCAATTAATTGAAATGCTATAAATTCAATTTGAGTGAGTTAGTGGATTTTATGCTTTCATTTTCTGAGAAATTTCAGAAAAAAATTGTTTTATTCCGACAGAAAATCTGCTAATACAAAGGATTTCCATTCCACTACCTTGTTATATGTGCAATTTCCAGCAACTTTCAAATGTAGAACTGCAATATATCTCAAAACGTAACTTGGCCAAGGTTATGCAATCTTGGAGAACACAAGTTCTCCACTTAGTGCATTCACTTAGTAATGAGGATACTGAGTAAAGTGGGTAAATTTCTACCTCAAGAGATCAAGTTGTTTAAAAAAAGATAGTAACCAGCTCAAAATCAATGTAAGACAGAAGATTTTTGCACAGGTTTCAGGAAAACCACACTTAGAAGTGTTCAAATACCCATCACCACATCCGAGTTCTTTTTTTTCCTACTTTTTTTTTTTTTTTTTTTAATGTTTGGTAAATTTATTGCATCTTTCACTTCTAAATTGCAGTAGTAGAAAGAACATTTTCTCTTAAAAAAGGGTAGACGTTAAGTCTCAAAATAAACTTAGGTTTAAATTTGAAAGGATTTAGAATTGATTTTAAGAGACTCCAAAATGCGTTCAATACCAAACAATGTTTTAAAGAGTATGATATTTCTTACAATGGATTTATCATAAAATGTGATCAGTAGAAAGATGTATACGAAAAAAAAAACCATGATGTGTTAAGTGGTTCCTAGTACCCCTGATTTGTAAGCATGATTCCACATTACTCGGTGCCAGGAATACCCGAAGCATGTGTGTGGCTGGACCAAGCTGGAGAGAGCCCTGCACAACAGTACTCCTACTGCCGTGAACTTCCCAATAAGAAACCTTCCAGTTCAAGCCATGTACATTTTACACAGAGAAAGAATCAAATTACAAATGAGACCAAAGAGGAAAATGGAGCCCAACTGCACAGTTCTGCCCTACTCTGTCTCTGTGAGCAGGCTGTGCCTAACAGCAACCTTCTTGAGGGGCAAATGCCTCTGACCATCCGTTTGGGGTCGTGAATGGTATTTTGTCACCTCCAAGAGCTGTTAGGCTTGCTGCTCTCTCACCGCCAGACAGGGACATCTGCACTATATTCTGGGAGCTTACATCTTCCAAGTTGAAGGAGGGAAGATTTAGGTTGGATGTTAGGGGGAAGTTCTTCACAAGGAGAGTGGTTAGGCCCTGGAACGGGCTGCCCAGGGAGGTTGTGGATGCCCCGTCCTTGGACGTGTTCAAGGCCAGGTTGGACGGGGTCCTGGGCAACCTAATCTGAATGTGTACGTTTGGTGGCCCTGCTAGGCAGGGGGGTTGGAACTACATGATCCTTGAGGTCCCTTCCAACCCGGGTGATTCTGTGATTCTGTGATTCTGTGATCTCCAAGCCCTTCAATTTCCCTTCCTTTCCATAGCCTCTTATGCCATTCATCATATAGCCCAAAAAACAATGTATAGAGGCACGCTATCATATAAATATTACTGCCACATGGGAAAGGGTAAATGATTTGTTACAGCAAGTGAAATATGAGAAAGCAAACCTTGTCACCTTGGTGTATGTGAGAAAAAAAAGTTTCAGAAACACGTACTCGAAGAGGAAGTTACTCAAACTAGAGACAAAAAGATTAATAGTTGGAAACTTCACATCATTTTACACAAAGAAATCAACCATTTTGGCCTAGATTCATATGTAAGATGATTCTCCAAAGAGTGGATGCTTGAACTCTCCAAAGAAAGGACACTGTACTTTCAAACTCTGATGTTTTTATCTCTCAAAGAAATTACTCTGAAATACCATCTAATAACACAGTGTTGGCAAAGACAGTTTGTTCCTACTTCATAACAAAATTTAGTGTCAGACAAAAAACACATTCCATGCTATTTGTCTAGATAATATTATTTCTGTCTATCTTAGGTTTATTTTAAAGTTTTTCATTTTTGTGCGAGGTTATTTCAGTGGGACAAGCTGAAATAGAAAAAAATAATGCTATGAATGCAACATAAAATAACAGCAACAATACTGTTCATGAAAAACTACTCAGTTTAGATGTTGTAAGTACTAAATCACACTTCATAATGAGGTGTGGAAAATGGAGTACTGAGAACAAAGTTCACTACTGAGAGGAGAGTATAGAGATTCATTGTACTCAGTTGACTAGCAGTCATTTATGCCAATGACTGATTTGTCTGTTTTCAACTGAAAGGAAGCTGTGGCTTTCTTCTAAAATGAGATTTACAGAATGAAATACACAAGAACCCCATATGTATTTGGTACTAGCCAAATGACCGTAAGACACTGCTGATAGTAAACTGGGTATTATCCAATTTTCAAAAAAGGTGGATGAATTTATTAACCACTAGATGTTTTGGTCAAGACAACATAGATTATTATATGGCATCAGACACATACAGATGAATCAAAGTAATATCAGTACTTATTTTAAAAAGATCATAAAATATAATTTTCTATCCTTTAATATATATAATCAGATCTCCAGGAATTATGAATCTCTTGCAGTTTACTTTGTGCCTGACTAATTTCATGAACGACAATCGAGGTATTCAGTTCATGAAATCCAGTGAGTAACCGAGAAGTCTCTTAAACAGACATTGGGGAAAGTGTTTTTAAAGGCTTCTGCTAGCTGAGAACGTATTTTTTATGTATCTACAACTTCCAAATCCATGTGTGCTGAAAACACCCAAGGAGACAGCAACAAGTTTTTCTATCAAATGTTTACAAGTAGAGAAAACTGATTTGGCTTACATACATTGTCCTTCAACATGAAAATTCCCTACTTACATCATAGAATCCTGCTTAGCCTTTTTTCAGAACTATTATCCAACAAGAGCAAATACTAATAGAGATGCAATCTTTATGCCACAGAGAACCGGTCTTTCTCCTGTGCACTAAAGCACAATGTCAAAGCTGAGTAAGTACCACATTAAAGAAAGGAAGACTCAGAGTTCTGTGATCCAGACATTATCAATGTTGAAATAAAAACTCGAATAATAAAAAAGAATCTTTTATGAGAACATTTGTTCACATTTTTCCACTTTCCTTGATACATCAGTTTGAAGGATATACACAATGTGACCTACAGAGGAAGCATCATTATTTTAAGGGAATGGCCATAATTCAGGAAGCCAGGAACTTTTATTAATTGTAGCTCTGGGCCATCATGAAAGGAAATGTCAAAATGTCCTACCTCATCTTTAGTTTTCCCTTGGAAAAGCCACGATAGCACTTAATTTCCTCCAGGGTCAACTGAACTTTAAAGTTGCAATATACATTAGAATGAAACAGTAGGTAATTACTAGGTATAGTCAATATGTGATTAATCAGTTCAAAGAGAATTTGTTACAGTCAAGTAACAGTGAACTATGGAATCGGTTACTACTCCTTGTGTTTTCTCAGAAAAATACAGACCTAGCGATTTTAACACATGAAAATCACCTGTGATTTATGCTGCCCACATTTGTCTCACAATGAGCTCATCCCAACAATGTCAGAAAAACATGTTTCTTCTTCGCAGTTATTTCTATAACATGATTTCAAAATTCTTAATGCCCTTAACCATAACTCGAGTCTCATCTCTCTTAGATTGCTGTAGGTAAGGAGCAATCACATTGAAATCAAGAAAATTAACTATGCCTTACAAACTCAGAATCTACCTTGGAAAGTTTATCTTTACAACATTGCGCATGGTTTTCAGCTAGAGGATTATTTTGACCTATAGCCTACCCATCGAGATGACTGTCAACAGCAACATTTGAAAGTTATTAGAGAAGAGACTCAAAGATTTAAGAATGTGCTCTTAACATTAATTACTGTCTGA